TTTTGAGCAGTTCCTTCATTATTATTATTTCATTCTTTGCCTGAGAGATTATTTCCAATCTCATCTCTTCCTTGGCCTTATGGAGTTGTTTCTTTACTTCCATTGCAATCATTTCAGCTATTTCAGGCATGTGTTTACGAAGTTCTCCTATGCTGATGTCTCCTGGACTTGTTCTGATTGGGGTGGAGTTCTGGGATTGTGTTTTAGTCCTTCGTTTTGTCATGTTTGCTACCGAATGCATAAAGCTCAGTTTCCCTCTTCAGTGGCTGCACAGCAAAGGCCAATAATGTCCCTAGTTTTCCTGTTTTTCAGCTTTGCCCCTGAGTGACCTCTGAGAGGCGCTACTTAGTCTCGGGTTTTCTGTCAGTTGTTGATTTGTATCTCATTATCCCCGATCTCAGACAGGGGCATTGGTGTCAGCTGATGTCCAACCATCTGATCCAGCATCCCCTTGCAGTTCAGGGCACGTGTACGGCCCAGACTCTGGTTGCACTGTTGTGACAATCCTGGTCCAGTGGACCTATGTCCCCAGGAAGTTCAGGGTACATGTAAAACCCAGAGACAACTGCTGGGTTGACAGTTTGTGAACCACCTGATTCTGTGTCTCCAGTCAGTTCAGGACACATACAGGAACCAGATGCAGGCTGGTCGGGTATCAATCACAGACTGCCCATGCCTTTGACCCCCTAGGGGGTCCCAGTGAAAGTAAAGTACGGACTCGAACCATGGGACCAGCAGCTCTTGGAGCAGTTGCATACCTGGCACAGGGCATGTGCAGGGCAGGGCTACATGTGCACGCCCCAGCCAGAGAAGTCCCTGGGGCTTCTGAGTGAGGACCTCCACTCTGCCGCGGTTGCAGGGAGGGCAGAGAGTCAGTCTGTAATGGCAGCAGGACCTGGGTCACCAACTCTGCCCTCAGGAAGTAGATGGGAAATACCTGGCTCTCTCTGTGAGTTTCAACTGGGAACCATGGGGGTGGAAGTAAAGCATGGACTTGAACCTTGGGACCAGCAGCTCCCGGAGCACTCTCACACTCGGTGCAGGGGCGTGCAGGGAGGGGCTACATGCACCACCACCCCGCCCCCCGGCCAGAGAAGCCCCTGGGGCTTCTGAGTGAGGACCTACTCTCTGCCACGGGTGCAGGGAGGCAAGCCCTCTTATTCAAACTAGGTGATACACGCAGGTTAATTGTACAATTCTCTCAACTTTTCTGTCACTTGAAATATTTATTTTATTTATCTGGTACTGGGGAATTGAACTGCTGGCCTCATAGTGAGCTACAGTCCTAGGACTTTTTTTTGTTTGAGACAGATTCTCAGTAAGTTGTGTAGCTGATTTCAAATTTAGTATCCTACCTCAGCTCTCAAATAGCTAGGCTTACAGGCACCACACACAGCATGTTTGGATATCTATATATTATTTTTTAATTGCTGATTAAAATAGTTAGGAGCAGAACAGCTCCAGCATTTTTCTCTTAAGGCCAAAGTGGAATTGGCAACCCCAGTGTTCACTAAAAGCAATTTCTTCCCCTGAATATCACAAACCTATTTCTTGCGTCTCCCAAGGAACTAGAAAGACCAGGATGTAACACAAAGTGATATAAATAGCAAATAGGGTCTAATAGTAGTTTAGTGATTAAGGAACTAAGTCTCAAACAGAATTAAAGCATGAAACATGTACCATTAGGTAGTTCCAAGAGTAGACAACATTAGGAGACCTTACTAGAATGTGAAATTGCTCATAAAAAGTGAATTTTTTCCTCACCAAATTTCAAAACCAAAATCAATTATTTGCTTCAGTGTCAGACGTTAGGATTTGTACCTTTTTGTCCTAATATAATGCTACTAGCTAAGTTAACTGCTTTGGGATGAAAGATTATTCTTTCCACTTTTTCTTTTGCCACAGATGAAATACACCAGAGAGATGTACCAAATTTTGGAAGGCATCTTCATTTAAGACTTTCAGTCAAGCCTCCAATTATGCAGCAGGTTTAGTAATTCTGAGCAGGGCAGTATGTGTGGGCATAATTTAAAGTATGAGGAAAAGGAGAAAACTAATGGAGAATCATGAAAAATCTTCACAAAAAAGTCCTTCTTCACACACATCTTAGATTTTGAGCTTTCCTTTTTCCCATTTCTCCATTTAAACTGTCACTGATATCTACTTTCAAAGGATTTCATTTGTGTCAAGAGGAAGTGTGTAGCACTCACTTATTGGGATCTGTCTTACCATTTGCCTCCCTAACTCTAGGTATAACACTGTATTCTTATTCAAATAAATTTAGATTTGTACAAAAGTGATATTTAAAAGGGAAGATATCCCAAAGATGTAAAAGACTAAAAATTTTTCTCTGGGTAAAATAACCAGATAAACATTAAAATCCTGAATTAACAAAATTTCTCTTCAGGAGAACCTATCATTGTGAATATTCATTTTTCATTTTATGGAATTCTCTACAGTTTCTCCTAATTCAGGAGATTTCCAAGCTTTTATTTAAGCATAGGTATAACTTTAAATGGAAAGTATGCAAGATCGGAATCTGAATTTCTGCTTGGAATCTATTGCCAAGCTACTCTCGTACAGTCCTTCCATTAAATTTACCCTTTATCTGTAAATTCAAGATTTCTAGCCGTATTGCATAAGTTTTTATTCAAGATCTTGAAGCCAAAGGAGAAAATAGTGAATCTGATACCCACCAAAGAGCCTGTCAGCAAAGAATATTGTACTTTAAACAAGATTTTCTTCATGGTTAAGATTATACCCTGGGAGTATATTAAGTACTATGTAAACTTAGTACTTAATCATATGAAACAAATTTTAATCCTGTGAAATGGCTTCACTATGTGACCAAACTGAGTCTAGCAGAGTGAGAGTTCCTCAGTGGTAGAGGTGCTCATCATGAGATTTTGTCTGTCAAGTTCCAGGATCCTCTTGAGATGTTTTTCTTGAACTTTTTATGAATAAGAAATTACTACAGAATAACTTTGTCAAATTTCTACTACCAAGGAATTAGTTTTTCTCCATGACATACCCTAAAACACCTTGGACCTGTCTTCATGAATGTACACTTTAATTGTATACTGTATTTACTTATTACTTTTCATAATCATGTGCCAATTTCTGAAAAACTACCTTTCTATAAAAATCTGTGTTCTATTCCATTTTTAAATATGACACTCAGAACTTAAAGACATTCTCCAGGGTTGTCAATCAGCTCCAAAAAGAAACTTAGTCTTTCATTCTAAATACTATATATGCAGTAATAGGGCCCCAAATTATAGTCTGACAGTCAGAGAAAACCACTCCCTCTGCCCACTGCTGGCCTTGGACTGCCACTGGCTGAAAAGCTTATATTTAATTTACACTGCTAGAAGTTGAAGTCTGAGGTTTATTTTTTCTCAGTTTTTCACAAATTATGTCCGAATTTTTTTATGTCTGTATTTTACCTTTTGCATTTTTTATTTTGTTGGTCTCCTTTTTTTTGGTAAAGGGAATCAAACTCAAGACCTTGTATTTGCCAGGCAGGACTGTGCTGCTGAGCTACATCCCCGATGCTTTTTGTTGTTGTTGTTGGTCTCTTTGAGGACATTTATTAGAAGTACATTGGATCTCATTTTCTGGTTTTATTATGTATGTGTATGTGTTTTAAAGCTATACTTTTCTAGTTCCATTAAATTCTTTGCTATTACAAATTTATTTTTCTCAACCTTCTAAGTATTTGTTCTTGTTCTTGAATATACTGGCCAGAGCCTGTTTACATTCTTACTCCTTTCAGTGTGGGCTTAATCTCTGAGATAATTTTACATTTTCTTCCATTTATTTCATGGACTGTGCCAGCTCACTTTTCATAACCTTTTCTGACCTTTTCATTTTATCCTTGAACATTGGAACTCTGTTTTCAGTTTATGGTTCTCTCTTTATGTCTATTCAAAATTAAATTTTTGAATGAGAATAAGGGACAATATTTGCAAACCATACATTTGATAAGAGGTTAATGTCCAACTCAATAGTAAGAAAACAAATGTAAAATTGGGCAGAGAGGATAGTGTGACAGTTAACTGATTGTGTTGACTTGGGTTAGAGACACCCAACTCAATTGGATCAGCATAGTCTAGAAGGCACACCCTAGGGAGGATTATCTCCAGAATGGTGGGAAAGGGAAATAAAAAAGGAAGACTTGCTTCTGTTTCTTCAGAGGAACTCTCGCCTTCAACCTCACCTTAAACAACACTGTCCCCTGTCTTGCAGGGAAGATTCTTCAGCCTTCAGCACCAACCTTACGGTCTTCCATCAAAGACAATGCAGACTCTTTATACAGGTTCCCATGAGACACTATAGTGGGCTCCAGGCCTTCCACTGCATCTTTTGGATCTCCAGCATGCATAGCACTTTTGTAATCTTCCACATCTGACTCTGTGGTGGCCATGGGAAACCAATCTTGTAAATTTTTGTACATTTGAATATCTTGCATTAAATCTGTCTCTGTAGTAAGCACTGACTGATACAGATGGGGATGTAAATCAGTAGTAGAGTAAGAACTTTTAGATTAAATCCTAGCACCATAATAAGAAGAGAGGCAGAGGGGGAACAGAAGAGGGAAATAGGCCAGAAAGAGCAAGTAAGGGAGAGTGAAAAACAAACAAACAAAAAAGACAAAGGATGTGAATAGACTCTTTTCAAAAAAGACGTACAAATGGCAAACAGAACCTATTAAAAATATTCAAGATCACTGATCATCAGAACAATTTCAAGGCTGAGACAGGAAGATCGTTAAGACAGGAAGTTCGAGGCCAGACTGGGCTACAAAGTGAGTTCAAGGCCAACTTCAACTGCACAGTGAAATCCTGTCTAAAAAAAAAAGTAAAGAAAAAGAAAAAAAGAAATGGAACAAATTGGAAGATGCAATCACAACCACAAACACACTCAGCCACTTTATTGTTGACAAAGGGGTCAAACAAGTTCACTGGAAGAAAGATAGCCTCTTTAATAAGTGGTGCTGGAAAAACTGGCTTACCACATGCCAATGACTGAAACTAGACCCATGTCTTTTACCATGCACCAAATTAAAGTCAAAATGGATCAAAGATCTAAATATTAAAATAGAAACATTAAATCTACTGGAAGAGAAAGTAGGTAAAAATCTTGAAGACATAGGGGTAGGCAGAGGAACAAAAACCAAACTATACAGCAAACTCTTCAAGGAATCAACAACTGGGATCTCATCTTATTGAAAAGTTTTTCCACATCTAAAGAAATCACCAGCAGAGTGAAAGGAAAACCCACAAATTGGGAAAAAAAATTAGCCAAGTGTCCCTTGGACAAAGGACTTCTATCTAGAACATATGAAGACTTTTTAAAAATTAAGCTCCCCCCCCCAAATTCAAAGACTCAATCCAAAAATGAGCATCTGAGATGAATACACACTTCTGAGATGAAGAAATAATAATCACAAATAAATATATGAAAAAATGTTCAACATCATTAGTCATTTGAGAAATGCAAATTAAAACAACACTGAGATTCCATCTCACCCCAGAAAGAATGGCTATCCTCAAGAAAT